GCCTCCCTCAACAGGTCATCCAACAGTGCGACCAGTGCCGTCTCTGTACCATAGCGCGGCCTGAAGCCCGACTGAAATGGGTCCAGAGCATTGGTTTCATCCAAGAGCGCCTGGAGCTGGTCTGCCACCACCCTCTCAACCACTTTGCTGAGGAAGGAAACATTGGCGACGGGCCTATAATTGCCAATTTCGTCCACCACCAAATTAGGTTTCTTCCTAATGGGCCTAATGAGTGTCTCCTTGAGGGTAGATGGAAATCTGCCCTCAAGGAAAGACCCATTAATTATTACAGTGGCCCATTCTGTTGTTTTTGGCCTGGCTGCTTTGATTAGCCAGGCCGGACAAGGGTCCAAGGAGGAGGTGGTGGCATGACAGCGGTCAATCGCCCTGGCTACAGAATCAGGCGTGACAGGCTGAATGGAATCAAAGATCACAGGGTAAGACGGAGCGCAGGACATCTCTGCTCGACTCACTGTATTCAAAAAACCAGGAGAGGAAGCTGAACACGTTCACTATGCATTGTCTCCAACACCTTTTTTGTATCACCTGGAAGGAAGAAGTTCCAAATAGAGTACTGTAGGCCTAGATTGAGCCGGAATTTTTAGCATGTACACATTACTGAAACAGTGCCATCTATGTTGGCTTGAGCATGTCGTGAGAATACTGTAGCTGATGGTCAGATTCCAAAATATCTCCTGTATAGAGAATGAGTGCAGGGAAATTGCCCCAGAAGGAGATCACAGCTGCAATACAAGGATATCTGCAAGCGGGATCTGAAGGCCTTAGGAATGGACCTCAACAGATGGGAAACCTTGACATCTGAGCATTCAAGACTGAAGGATGCCTAATCTAAATCCTGATCCAAATCCCCTTCCCAATGGTCTTTCCTCACCCAATGGAAAATGAATAATTTAAAAAGAAATGTCAACTGTGATATTTAGCGTCAGTCCTTCAGGAACAGCAATGGGAGCAACGTTGCAGCGCTCTTTGAAGCCCACCGTCTCTTCCTGGGTCATCTTTCTTGTAGGCATCTTCCTTGTGGGCTGTCTCTATGGGCACATCTGAAGCATCTTTCAAAAAGCAGCTTTCAATTTTAGGTCAACAAGTCTGCCTCCCATTAAGTTAAATGTTTTGAAAACTTTAGAAGCTAAGATTACCTCTTCAACTGAGCTCTATCCACAGGGGATTCTCAAGAGCCTCCTCCAGCACCACAATTCAAAGGCATCAATTCTTCGGCGGTCTGCTTTCTTTATGGTCCAGCTCTCACTTCCATACATCATGACAGGAAAAACCATAGCTTTGACTATTCGGACTTTTGTTGGCAAGGTGATGTCTCTGCTTTTCAAGATGCTGTCAAGATTTGTCATCGCTTTCCTCCCAAGAAGAAGGCGCCTTTTAATTTCAGGGCTGCTGTCTCCATCTGCACTGATCATGGAGCCCAGGAAGATAAAATTTGACACTGCCTCCATATCTTCCCCTTCTATTTCCCAGGAGGTGATGGGACCAGTGGCCATGATCTTAGTTTTTTTGATGTTGAGTTTCAGACCGTTTTTTGCACTCTCCTCTTTCACTCTCATTACAAGGTTCTTTAATTCCTCCTCACTTTCTGCCATCAGAGTGGTATCATCTGCATATCGGAGGTTGTTGATATTTCTTCCGGCAATCTTAATTCCGGCTTGGGTTTCTTCCAGTCCAGCCTTCCGCATGATGTATTCTGCATATAAGTTAAACAAGCTGGGGGACAATATACAGCCTTGCCGTACTCCTTTCCCAATTTTGAACCACTCAGTTGTTCCATGACCAGTTCTAACTGTTGCTTCCTGTCCCACATATAGGTTTCTCAGGAGACAGATAAAGTGGTCAGGCACTCCCATTTCTTTAAGAACTTGCCATAGTCTGCTGTGGTCCACACAGTCAAAGGCTTTCGCATAGTCAATGAAGCAGAAGTAGATATTTTTCTGGAACTCTCTGGCTTTCTCCATAATCCAGCGCAAGTTAGCAATTTGGTCTCGAGTTCCTCTGCCTCTTCGGAATCCAGCTTGTACTTCTGGGAGTTCTCGGTCCACATACTGCTGAAGCCTACCTTGCAGGATTTTGAGCATAACCTTGCTAGCGTGCGAAATGAGTGCAATTGTACGGTAGTTGGAGCATTCTTTGGCACTGCCTTTCTTTGGGATTGGGATGTAGACTGATCTTTTCCAATCCTCTGGCCACTGTTGAGTTTTCCAAACTTGCTGGCATATTGAATGTAGCACCTTAACAGCATCATCTTTCAAGATTTTAAATAGTTCAACTGGAATGCCATCACCTCCACTGGCCTTGTTGTTAGCCAGGCTTTCTAAGGCCCACTTGACTTCACTCTCCAGGATGTCTGGCTCAAGGTCAGCAACTACATTGTCTGCGATGTCCGGGATATCCAAATCTTTCCGATATAATTCCTCTGTGTATTCTTGCCACCTCGTCTTGACGTCTTCTGCTTCTGTTAGGTCCCTCCCATTTTTGTCTTTTATCATGTTCATCTTTGCGCAAAATGTTCCTCTAATATGTCCAATTTTCCTGAACAGATCTCTGGTCTTTCCTTTTCTGTTATCTTCCTCTATTTCTTTGCATTGTTCATTTAAGAAGGCCCTCTTGTCTCTCCTTGCTATTCTTTGGAAGTCTGAATTCAAGTTTCTGTAACTTTCCCTATCTCCCTTGCATTTTGCTTCCCTTCTCCTCTCTGCTATTTCTAAGGCCTCGTTGGACAGCCACTTTACTTTCTTGCATTTCCTTTTCTTTGGGATGGTTTTCGTTGCTGCCTCCTGGACAATGTTACGAGCCTCTATCCAAAGTTCTTCAGGCACTCTGTCCACCAAATCTAGTTCCTTAAATCTGTTCTTTACTTCCACTGTGTATTCATAAGGGATTTGGTTTAGATTATACCTGAGTGGCCCAGTGGTTTTTCCTAATCTCTTCAGTCTAAGCTTGAATTTTGCTATGAGAAGCTGATGATCAGAACCGCAGTCAGCTCCAGGTCTTGTTTTTGCTGACTGTATAGAGCTTCTCCATCTTTGGCTGCAGAATACAAGGATATCTGCAAGCGGGATCTGAAGGCCTTAGGAATGGACCTCAACAGATGGGAAACCTTGACATCTGAGCATTCAAGACTGAAGGATGCCTAATCTAAATCCTGATCCAAATCCCCTTCCCAATGGTCTTTCCTCACCCAATGGAAAATGAATAATTTAAAAAGAAATGTCAACTGTGATATTTAGCGTCAGTCCTTCAGGAACAGCAATGGGAGCAACGTTGCAGCGCTCTTTGAAGCCCACCGTCTCTTCCTGGGTCATCTTTCTTGTAGGCATCTTCCTTGTGGGCTGTCTCTATGGGCACATCTGAAGCATCTTTCAAAAAGCAGCTTTCAATTTTAGGTCAACAAGTCTGCCTCCCATTAAGTTAAATGTTTTGAAAACTTTAGAAGCTAAGATTACCTCTTCAACTGAGCTCTATCCTGTGTATACATGGAGCTCTATCCACATTCTGTATATTTCTACAGTTTTTCCCCATCTGCGTTCTCTGATGAGAACTAAGGCTATTTCTTTAATTAAAGCTTTCCACATTCGATCCTTTCATATGGTTTATTCCCGGGGTGAGTTCTTCTTCTTATTAATAACTTGGGATAAGGTAAGGGGTACAGAAGGTAAAGGATATCAGGGGGGTGGGGGAAAGGAGGAGAAGAAACACAAAATGTACTGACATATAGTTTATTCATGTTGCAATATCGAATTGACTTTCTGCTTTTCTACAATTTAATTGCCCTCCAGGTTTTAACTTAAATTTACATCCTAATTTACATCTATGTTATTCAAGCAATATCTGATAACTCAAGTCATTTATATAATAAATCACATCATTCAGTTGTCTTTTGTGTGCGAGTTCTCTGATGTAACCTAAGGACACCACTGTGAATAAAGGTCTTTCGATTCCATGCATTTCTATGGTTGCTCCCTTGTATGTGTTCTTTGACGTAACCTGCAGATATCGCTCCGAATGAAGCTCTTTCCACATTCTATGCATTTGCATGGTCTCTCCCCTGTGTGAGTTCGTTTATGCGAACTACGGGTACTACTCTGACTGAAGCTCTTTCCACATTCCGTGCATTTATATGGTTTCTCCCCGGTATGGGTTCTTTGATATGACCGAAGGTCACCACAATGACTGAAGCTCTTTTCACATTCCATGCATTTACATGGTTTCTCTCCTGTGTGAGTTCTTTGATGCAAACTAAGGTAACCATTCTTACTGAAGCTCTTTCCACATTCTGTGCATTTATATGGTTTCTCCCCTGTATGGGTTCTCTGATGTGACCTAAGCTTATCATTCTGACTGAAGCTCTTTCCACATTCTATGCATTTTTATGGTCTCTCCCCTGTGTGAGCTCTTTGATGAAAAGTAAGTTTACTGCTGCAAATGAAGTTCTTTCCACATTCTATACATTTATATGGTTTCCCCCTGTGTGAGTTCATTGATGCAAACTAAGTTGATCATTCTGACTGAAGCTCTTTCCACATTCTATGTGTTTATATGGTTTCTCCCCTGTATGGGTTCTCTGATGTGCCCTAAGCTTATCATTCTGACTGAAGCTCTTTCCACATTCTATGCATTCATATGGTTTCTCCCCTGTGTGGGTTCTTTGATGTGACCTAAAATTACTATTTTGAATAAAGCTCTTTCCACATTCTATGCATTCATATGGTTTCTCCCCTGTGTGGGTTCTTTGATGTGACCTAAAATTACTATTTTGAATAAAGCTCTTTCCACATTCTATGCATTCATATGGTTTCTCCCCTGTGTGGGTTCTTTGATGTGACCTAAAATTACTATTTTGAATAAAGCTCTTTCCACATTCTATGCATTCATATGGTTTCTCCCCTGTGTGGGTTCTTTGATGTGACCTAAAATTACTATTTTGAATAAAGCTCTTTCCACATTCTATGCATTCATATGGTTTCTCCCCTGTGTGGGTTCTTTGATGTGACCTAAAATTACTATTTTGAATAAAGCTCTTTCCACATTCTATGCATTCATATGGTTTCTCCCCTGTGTGGGTTCTTTGATGTGACCTAAAATTACTATTTTGAATAAAGCTCTTTCCACATTCTATGCATTCATATGGTTTCTCCCCTGTGTGGGTTCTTTGATGTGACCTAAAATTACTATTTTGAATAAAGCTCTTTCCACATTCTATGCATTCATATGGTTTCTCCCCTGTGTGGGTTCTTTGATGTGACCTAAAATTACTATTTTGAATAAAGCTCTTTCCACATTCTATGCATTCATATGGTTTCTCCCCTGTGTGGGTTCTTTGATGTGACCTAAAATTACTATTTTGAATAAAGCTCTTTCCACATTCTATGCATTCATATGGTTTCTCCCCTGTGTGGGTTCTTTGATGTGACCTAAAATTACTATTTTGAATAAAGCTCTTTCCACATTCTATGCATTGATATGGTTTCTCCCCTGTATGGGTTCTTTGATGTGACCTAAGGTTATTACTCTGATTGAAACTCTTTCCACATTCTATGCATTCATATGGTTTCTCCCCTGTGTGAATTCTGCTATGTGTAGTAAGGTGACTGCTTTTGCTGAAGGTCTTTCCACACTGGATACATTTATGCTGCTTCACCCCCTTGGGAGGTTTTTCACCTGGAAAATTATTGTTCATATTCATAGTCTTTCCATGTTCCATTCACTGATTTAGTTTTTCCTTTGGGTCAACATAGCCATGTCTATTGATATCTGAAGCTCTTTTCAATGCTTTTCTCCCTGTGATGCATGTTCTCCTTCCTTTTCCTTGACGTTTTTCTCAACTATCAGGAGTTTGTTAATAATCAGCACTATGTGAAATTGGAAATATACTCTTCCCTGTCATTGGTTGGCTTCCATTCCGTCTTTCTATCTCCTTTTCGGTGTTTAACTGTATTTTTTCCCCACTTCACACTTGTTTCTTGTCCCTGTCGAAATAGCTGAATATATAGAGCTCCTTTTGGCTTGTTATCTGATTTTAAAAAAAGAGGAATATAGCACAGAACCTATTAAATGCATACAGTAACCTACAACCCCCTGTTTGCACAGAAAGGCTTTTTAATGAGTAAAGAAAACACATGAAGAACAGAGTTTTCAAATTATAATTCTACCCTAATGTTTAATGGGATGGTTGTACTTGCATCTTGGCAATGAGTTAGTGCAGAAAACCTTTTAGGTGAGATTTCATATAAAAATAATTGTGATTAAAAATAACCAGCGTGACTTTTAAAATGACAATCTCTTTAGGTGTCATCCCACCTGCAGGTCGGGAACCCATGATCTTGGAATTCTCAGTTAATCATATCCTCTAGCCTTGGTGGCATTAACCTTCCTTCATTTTCCTTTTTGTTTTCACTTCCTCTCTGAGATTTTTGTGAGGCCATATTGTCCTAAGCGAGAAAAGAAAATGGGACCATGGTCTACAACTCGTCATTTTCATGCTGGTAATGAGCCTCATGGTGCAGTGGTTAAAACGCTGTACTGCAGCTAAACTGTGCTCCCGACCTGGGGTTCAAATCCCAGGTAGCCGGCTCAAGGTTGACTCAGCCTTCTATCCTTCCGAGGTTGGTAAAATGAGTACCCAGCTCGCTGGGGGGCCAATGTGTAGCCTGCATAATTAAATTGTAAACCACCCAGAGAGTGCTTGAAGTGCTATGGGGCGGTATATAAGCAGCACGCTTTGCTTTTTTTGCTTTGGTTTTGTTCCATGGGTGCACAGGACTGAAACTGAAATATGGAGGGAGGATCCACAGGCTGTCTAGGTATGCTTTCTCCTGATGGGACAGATGAAAGATTTGACAGAATAATTGCTCTATCTCATACAACCCACAGATAAATCTTTTTTTCCATCCATGTGGAAACAAAGGGCACAGCCAAGAGGAGTTACGAAGAAATCACATCAGACTTTGAAGCTCTGAGAAGAATACTCAAGGTCTTTGAGTCCCAGAGAGTTTTCTCATCCAACCTACAAGAACTCAGAAGAGGAAGAGGAAGGGAAAGGAAAATATTCTGTGTGAACAACTGGCTACAGTTGTTGAATGATTTGGATTCTTCTAGCCTAAGAGGGAAAAAATATAACGAAAGTATATTCATTAAATGCCGAAGTAATAAGAGTTAGTTGTTATTTTTCATGGAAGAGTTCTGACAATTTCCTCGTGAGCCATCATAATGTGGGGAGAGAATGGAAAGAACACTTACACACACAGCGAGAGAGAGAGAGAGAAGATGGAGAAGAAAGAAGCAGAGAGAAAGGCAATGAAAGATACAAGGAGAGAGATCTGAGGCAGGGAGGTGATTGTAATCTCACAACATGGAGCGTGGACCGTGGGAGACTCTGGTGTCAACAAGCGTAACCCCTTTTGAACTACATATTTGCCTCAGGACAGGAAGAATCGGGGGGTTGGGGATCAAAAGAGTCACCCACATTAAAAGGTGAGAGACACAGAGGAGTGGACAAAGAATCCCAGCCTGTGAATGGACCAGCAGGGATAATGGGAATCTCTCCTTGATGTCTGTTAATGGTTTGCCTGTTACATCCAGTTGAGATGTTCAGCCAGAAACGGTGTTTGAAGGATTTGCAGACCGGGAAGAGGTGATTGTTGAAAAACATGAGGGAGCTAAGAATAAGTTGAGTCAAAAAAAAAAGAAAAGGAAAAAGTGTCTTCTGTTATTGAGGGGGGCAAAGTTCATATTGGGGGTGCCTTAAAATCAGGCACGGAGTTGTATTGCCTCACCAGCTTGACACTGCTAAAGGAAACAAACCCATTCTGCCTTGTGACCTCTACCCCATTTTCAAATTTCAAATAAATTCATTGTCTTGTAAGTATATACATAGTATACCCATACAACGAAATTCACACAGACACCCAGAGACCAAACCAACATGCACACATATAAAAAATCCCCAAACCCCCCCCACCCACTAAAAATCCCCCACTAAGAATACAAACATCTACACCGCAAGCTAAGTAACACTGTCCAACTATTCACTACTGGTGGTCTTTAAGGTCATTATTAAGTGCAATTACAGTTCTGGGATAAAAATTACTCAGAAAACGTGTGGTCCAAGTCTTAATTGTTCTGTATCTTCTGCCAGATGGCAACAGTCCAAAAAAGTTGTAAGCAGGATGGGAAGAGTCTCTCAGGATGTTATGTCACTTCTTCCGACAGCGGGATGTGAAGATGTCATCCAGGGTTGGTAGCTGGAGCCCGATGATATTCTGGGCAATTTTAATGGTTCTCTGTAGAGCGTTTTTGTCTGCTACAGAGCTACTCCCAAACCATACCAAAATGCCATGTTAGGACACTCTCAATGGTGCTACGATAGTAGGACAGAAGAAAATACTGAGATAAATTTAACTTCCCGAGCATTCTCAGGAAATACAGCCTCTTTTGTGCCTTCTTCACTAGCACGTTGGCATTTATAGTCCATGAGAGGTCCTCTGAGATATAAGTGCCCAGAAATTTAACACTACCCTCTCCATTTCCTCACCATTTATGTACAGTGGTAAATGTACATTTTTCTTCCTACTAAAATCAATTAAGAGTTCTTTAGGGTTTTTTTTTTATGTTAAGTGTAAGATTATTTTCTTTACACCAGAGTATCAACCCTTGTACTTCCTTTCTGTAAGCAGACTCATTGTTCTTATTTATGAGCCCCACCACTGTCGTTTCATCCGAAAATTTAATAATTGCGTTAGTGTTATACAGTGGGGTGCAATCATGTGTGTACAGGGAATAGAGGAAGGGACTTCGCACACAGCCCTGGGGAGCTCCTGTACTTAGTACCAGGGTAGAAGAATGGTGAGATCCCATCCTTACTTACTGTGGCCTCTCTGTCAGAAAGTCCTTTACCCACACACAAATCTTCTGAGGTAATCGCAGGTTGATCATTTTAAAAAACAGCCTATTGGGTAGAATGGTATTAAAAGCAGAGCTATAATACACAAACAATAATCTCACACAAATTCCCCGTTGTAGGCTAAGATACATGCATATATGTGTGTGTGTATATTATATGTATTAATTGGACCCCTTCAATCAGGAAAAACCTCCTACCTGTTCGAGCATTACAACAGTGGAACCAGTTGCCAGGAAAAACCTACCTGTTCGAGCATTCGAGCATTACAACAGTGGAACCAGTTGCCTCAGGAGTTGGTGAGTGCTCCAACATTGGAGGCATTCAAGAAAAACTTAGATCATCACTTGGTAGATATGCTTTGATTCTATACCTGCATCAACCAGAGGTTTGGACTTGATAGCCTTGTAGGCCCCTTCCAACTTTACTTTTCTATGATTCTGTTCTCTGGACTCCCCAAGAGTGAAGGTTTGCAGACAGACAGACAGAAAAAGAGATGAGGGTAAAGATGGATTTCTCTCTCTGCTCTTTCCACATTCCATGCATTTAAATGGTTTCTCCCCACTATGAGTTCTTTGATGTGACCTAAGGATACTACTCTGACTGAAGCTCTCTCAACATTCCATACATGGATACAGTTTCTCCCCTTCAGGTGACATGCATTTATGTGGTTTCTCCCCTGCGTCACTCCTTTCATGTGAAGTGCATGTCTGGCCTTTCCTATTTTAAGTTCTCTGTTTTCTTGCTTGATTAGGAGTTCCTGCCCAGGTTGCCCCAGATGTTGCTGGGCAATTCTTCTCCTGTCCATCATCTAGTAGATTAGAAAAAGAAGAGAAAGAATCACTTCCAAAATCTGCATGAATAAGGAATGTGTCCGGGTCTGAGTTGCAGAGTAGGAAGGAAAGACAGTCAAAAAGGCAAGAGAAGAGAACCAGGGAGGGGATGATGCCCGACTGGAGGTTATTCCTTTGGGCTTGAGGTTGGATGGGCTCTTGAGTAAGGGACCATATGGAGGGAGGAGTCATGAAAGGAGGATTATTTCCACACCCAAGTAAATACATCACATTCAAAGTATATTAACTTTTTTCTTTCTCAAATTCTCCCCAATGATTGTACTTAAGTTTCCATTAAATTAGAAAGGAATTTCTCAAAGCTGATTAAAGAGGAAACAAATAATTGAATTAAAGGATTTTTTAAAGCAAAAAATGAATAAGAAGGGGGGGAAAGGACGGTGTTAGAAAGGAAGTGTAAAAGTGGATGAAGGACAGTGTTAAAAAGGAAGTATAAAAGTGGATGAATGCAGCTAGATTATTAGACTCGAGAACTGGTAAAGAGAAGTTAGTGGTAGATGCCGAGAACTGACAAAGTCTGCAGAGATTATTATTCAGAGGGCGAAGAGAAAGGACAGGTCCACAAAAGGGATGGGATGTAGAATTTATAAAATGCTATTATGGGTAGAGAATCATCAGGAATTTCTGAACACAGGATAGGAAACAGAGATGGTCAGGGAAATAGGTATTGAGATAAATAGGTATTGAGAACTGCAGAGCTAGAAGGGAAGTGAACTCCAAACTTCTGTCTCCAGAGTTAGATACCTAAACCAATGTGTATGGAAAGGGGGGAGGAAAGAATTTGATAAATCACATCAGTGAGAATTAAAGCAAACATTTAAACATTGAAATTCAGAAGGTA